GCATTCTCGGGGCCGTGGAGGGGCCCAGGGATCGTGGAGGATTCCAGGGGCCGAAGATGGGTCCAAAGGCGCCAAGGCGAGTCCCCAGAGCCAAGGGTCCAAAGCCCAGGGTCCAGAATCCATCAAGGGCGGACGAGAAGGAGGAGGAGGAGGAGGAGGAGGACGACGAGGAGGAGGAGGAGGAGGAGGAGGACGAGAAGGAGGAGGAGGAAGAGGAGGAGGAGGAGGAGGAGGAGAAGGAGGAGGAGGGAGATGAAGGCGAACGAGGACGAGGGCGATCACGAACACAACGGGCGAGGAGGAGGCCGACAACGATGACGAGCAAGGGGAGAAGTCCGGGCAGTTCTCTGTTGGGCCTCGGGCTTCGTTCCCCCTTCCTTGGGGTGGGTTTACCGCTCTGGGTCGGTATGCGTCGGTCTGGTTCGGCCGCATTCGGTCCACAAGCGATTTTGGTACGGTTCGGTTCGGGTCTTTACCGCGACCATTCCGGTTCGGTTCGATTCGTCTAGGGGGGGACGCTGGTTCGCAGCCGTTCGATTCAGCCTGGTTCAGTCCAGGCTGTACTGGAATATTCCTGCAATGAAACGCTGCGACGGAGTTACGCCAGGAAGGAGGCAGCACAGTACGAGATTTCCAAGGCTCCAGGAGTGTCGGCCGTCAGGACCCTCATGAACGAGATCCGCTGTCGATGGTACTGCTTGCCGTGGCATCCTTTGGCGCCATAGTGCCATGACTAGAACCCAAGCGCGCGCGTAGCGCGCGCGTGGTCACTTGCGGGGCCCGGGCCCCAACAAACAGTCGCGCGAGGAAACGCCCAGAGCCGCGACGAGCTTTGAGAGATTGGAGTCGAGGGGCCCCGAACCTCTCATGATCTCCTCAGGAGTGACGGCTTAGGCCTCGAGGGATCGCGAGGCGACCTGTGGAAACGCCCATCCCCTGTCGAGAGGCGCGGTGGCGAATTCTGTTCTGGACCGGTGGCGTGGCCTGTCCCGTCCGGCCCGTCACCGCGACAGCGCCTCCTGCACTCATCCAGTTTCTCACGAGGGTTTAGTCCCCACATTCTCGACACTCGCCGCTCCTTGCAGGTGGCTGCAGCGAGGGTTGTTCCTGCTCTTGTTTCGCCTCTTCCCATCTCTCTCTCTCTCTCTCTCTTTCTCTCTTTCTCTCTCTTCACATTCCCCTCCTCCTTCTTCGCATTCACCTCCATCCCTCCTCCGCCTCTTCTCGCTGCGACTCGCTGCCTTCAGTTCTCCGAGACCCTGGCGGGGGGCGAGAAACTATCGAGGTAGTTGTTTCTTTTGAACGCAGAAGCTGGACCTGGCGCGGCAGACCTCTCGCGCAGATCGTGGACGAAAATATCGATTCCACTTCCATCATATCCAGTTCCTCCCCGTCTTCGCGTACTCAGCGCTCCGTCCCCGTCCTCGTCAGGTCGCAGGAGCGGCCAGGGCTGTCTGCGAACGGCAGCACGGGGCAGCACGGTTCAAGAGGAGACGGGCCACTGACGGGACGTCCTGCAGCATTCCAGAGGAAAAATCGTCCAGAAACGATGCCCAAGCGAGTTGCCCCGGTCGGGCACGCGGGGAGGTCGCAGGGGAAGGCTGGGAGGTGCCCTCCCCCGAAAGATGGGGGAGGGAGCGACACTTTTTCCGAAAGTTTCTGAGAATCCTCCCCCTGGAGTCTCTTGGCGCCTCTCTGTGGGTGGGGGAGGGGGAAGGTGAATGAGGAAGTTTACTAAGCCACTCACGCCCGAAAGAGCGAACCTTGGTAATCCGAGTGGACTTCGGCCGAGGGCACGAGGACAGGGGCAATCCCGGCGAACTCAGGGCGGGGAGGTGCAGCTCGAGAGGAGAGGAGGCTCGCGGCCCAGCCCTAATGAGCGCACTGGCGCCCCGCTGGATGGAAGGGTGGTGGAGTAGGGAGTAAGAGGAGGTCGGGCGAGCAGCAGGGAGGCCAAGTTCCTCGACGCGTCCTCGCTTCTTTGAACAGCAGCGGCGGCATGTACTCTTCTTGGGTCGTATCTTCGCCTCGCACTTCCTGCGCAGACAGCACGGTGTTTCCGATTGTCTCGAGAGCCTTATTTCAGTTGCCTACGACGGCAGTCCAACACCTATCACTCGCTCGTGGTGACAGGACACGCCGGCCGGTCGAGAAGGCACCCCTCCTCCGCTCCCTTTTCTTTATCGACGGTCCTAAGGGGCGCGAGGAGGGCAAACCCCTTCGGGATTTCTTTTTCTCTAGGGACCCATCTCCTTCGTATTCAGGACCGGCTTCTACGTGAAGACAGGCCCCGTCAGAGCGAGCGGGGCATCGCTATACCCTATCATTTCACAAGTTGCGTTCCCACTCCCACACCTCAAGGGCGGCCCTGGCAGAGCGAGAGCCTTCTGACTACGCGTGTGGGCCCGAGAACGTGACCACACTGGGGCTTACAGCGGTACCCGTGCTTCACGTGCGATTATTAGAACCTAAGCGCGCGCGTAGCGCGCGTGGTTCTAGTATCTCTCTCTATATATATGTAGTATCTCTCTATATATATGTATATATATAGAGATAGAGAGAAGCAAAAAAAGGAGGAAACAACAAAAAAAAGTGAAAGAGAGAGAGAGCGAGAGAGCCGCCCTCCACCCGTGTAGCTTTCGCACAAGTTAGAAGTACAGGCCCCAGAAGATAAGGAAGTCTGAAGCGAGAGTCGCATTTCGAAAGCGAGGCAGTCTCCCTCGTTATATGTGTTCTGCAAGTTGCAACGAATGTGCGCGGCGCCAATGCGAGAACGGCATGTTTGAGGCTCCAAGGCGAGAGCGGCGTTTTGAAAGCCACCAGTCCTCTTATCGTTTCGTGATAGTACGATCAATGTGTCACCTCAGGCGCGCAGCGTTTGGGCGAACGCCTTATTTCGAAAACGGCAGGCCCTCCATCTTTGCAGATATTGGTAACTGTGCATCAGAATGCTGAACCTAATGGGCGCAGCGTTTAGGCGAGAGCCGAATTTCGAAAACTACTGGCCCCCGATCCGCATGAACGTTGGAGAGTGTTGATCTCCAGGGGTCGGAAGTTGAAGGAAGTCTCAGGTGAAACGCCTGGCCCAGCCTACGGACACGTCTGGTGGTGCGACACGGAAGAAGCTTTTTGATAAGAGAGAGGGATGAAAAAAGAGGGAGGGAAAAGGGGATTATGCAGGACGATGCAGAAAGGACATCCGAGATTCTGGGTGCAATGGTGCCTGAATCCGACTTCGGACCCCCCCCCGTCCGAGGAGACAAGTTCAAAGTCAGGCCCACCGAAACCCGACTACCGTTTGTTAGAATTCAAGGTTTCTGTCCGGAGAAACCAGTGAATTTGGAGGGTGAAGTCCATTCATTTTTAGAAGACCAGTAGAAAGACCTTGTGCCAAATACCATGCCGTGCTCACTTCCTAGCCACTACAATTTTTGACACATCAGATATCATTATTCCCTATCTAGGCTCTGCCTAGAAGGGTTCTTACTCTCTAGCTTAAAGGGGCCGGGCAGTGGAAAGCGCCCCGGGCGGTTCCCCCAGTCCCCGCCCCGCGGTTCCCCCCGTTGCGCCCCCTGGGTTCACCCAGCTTAGCTTAGCTAGGCTTAGCTTAGCTTAGCTGATCTCATCTTAGCTTAGCTTAGCTTAGCTTAGCTTTGCCTGGCCTAACCTAGCTTAGTTTAGCTTAGCGTAGCGTTGCTTAGCGTATATTATCTTAGTTTATCTTAGTTTAGCTTAGCTTAGCTTAGCTTATAGTAGCTTGGCTTAGCTCAGCTTCGCTCAGCTTAGCCTAGCCTAGCTTAGCTTAGCTCAGCTGAGCTGAGCTGAGCTTAGCATAGCTTACCTTACCTTAGCTTAGCTTAGCGCAGCGCAGCACAGCGCAGCGCAGCATTCGCACATCATAGCATAGCATAGCATAGCCAAGCATATCATATCATATCATAGCATATCATAGCTGAGCATAGCATAGCATAGCATAGCTGAGCATATCATAGCATAGCATATCATAGCATAGCGTACTGCAGCATAGCATAGCATATCATAGCATAGCATTGCTTCGCATAGCACAGCATAGCACAGCATAGCATAGCATAGCATAGCATATAATGTTGCTTTCCTAAATGCTCCAACTCCTAGGTAGGGTCGCACTGGGATGCTACTTGTATTAATGTGTATGGATATACACACCCGGTATATCTACTTATATAGGCAACGCGGCCGTTGCGTTCGGCGCAGTGCATGGTCGGAATATGGGTAGATGCGTCTCCCGCATGTTCTTGCATTGGAGCAAGGCCCCAGATGGTAATCCAACGGCGATGTTATTTAAAGGATCAGGAGGAGGAGGAGGAGAAGGAGGAGGAGGGGCAGAAGCAGGAGGAGGAGGAGGAGGAGGAGAAGGAAGAGGAGGAGGAGGAGAAGGGAGGGAGGATACTTGGAAGAAGGAGGAGGAGGAGGACCATAGTAGTAACCTGGAGGCGGAGGAGGAGCAGGAGGAGGAAGGAGCAGGAGGAGAAGGAGGAGCAGGAAGAGGAGGAGAAGGAGGAAAAGGAGGAGGAGGAGGGAGGGAGGAGGAGGGGGATAAGGGAGGGAGGATAATTGGAAGAAGGAGGAGGAGGAGGACCAGAGTAGTAACCTGGAGGAGGAGGAGGAAGAGGAAGAGGAGGAGGAAGAGGGGGGACCAGAGAAGGCGATCTGAATTACTTGGAGGAGAAGGAGGATGAAGAGGAGCAGGAGGAGGAGGAGGAGGAGAAGGAGGAGGAGGAGAACGACAAGGAGGAGGAGGAGGAGGAGGAGGACAGGAGGAGGAGGAGGAGGGGCAGAGGAGGGGCAGGAGGAGCAGGAGGAGGAGGAGGAGAAGGAGGAAGACAGGAGGAGGAGGTGGAGGAGGACAGGAGGAGGAAGAGGAGAAGGAGGCAGGCGGGGGGTGCGGCGAATCCTGGCCAGACGGGCGACGCCGCCCGCGGCGGTGTGGCCCCCTCCCGGGGAAAGGGCGCGCCGGCGAGGCCCGCTGCCGGCACCACCCCTCCAGCAGCAGCAAGATCTTATGGATCATGGACCGCCCTGGCCCGCTCCAGGGCGGGGGCCTCCTCCTCCACCTCATCATCCTCTTCCTCCTTATCCTCCTTCTCTCCCTCCTCCCCCTCCTCCTCCTCCTCCTCCTCCTCCTCCTCCTGCTTCCCCTCCTCATCCGCCCCCTGCTCTCAGGGGTGGCCAAGAGGGTGATGACTAGGGTTCAATAGAAAATCACGGAAAATCCCACTCGTCTTGAGTTGAGCGTATGTCGCCGAATAGAGCCCAATAGCGTTCAAAAGCCCCGAGTAGCGCCCATTGTAGAGCTCAACAGCGCCCAATTAGCGCCGACTAGCGCCCAATGGCACCATGTGGAGGAGATGCATGACGTCCGCTTTGCGCGCTTTTGGGTGCCATGGCGGCGACCAACAGCTTTCGTGAGTTAATTTCTGCCTACAACCTTTTGTAGGGTGGATATCGTGGCCGGGGTCGTGATGTCTGCCTAGATGGCATGGCCTCCTCCTTCTCTAGATGCGATGGCCCCTTATTGTTAGTCCTTGATAGTATTATTAATAACTGTTTATGGTTTTGCCTTCTTCGTACTGTGATTATTTTCAAGGTTATTATCATTGGCATGCTTATTATTAGTGGTAAGTGTATTATTATTGTTGTTATATGATTTGTTTTCTTATTCTTATTATTATGGTTATTATCTTCTTTCAATGCGTCCGTCGCCCTCGCCTGGGCCGCGCACGTACCTCGGGCCGTGATTTACGGGCCCCCCTCTTGGATGGCCCTCTCCCGCACGGCCCTGGGGGCGCTCCAAACAGGCCCTTCTCTGCCCCAGCGGAGGCCAGCGGGCGCAAAGACCGGGAGAGCTCGAAGCAAACGTCGTGCTTCCAAGGGGTGCAGCTTGGGTGCAGGGCGTCCGAGACAAGAGACAAGTCCCGGGGGGCGGGGTCGAGAGGTCCAGGGGCCCAAGTCCCGACCAAACCTCTGCACGAACGAAATGGGCACGGAAAGAATGGGGACAATGCCCAACAGCGGGTCTTGCTCATTTTGAACAGGACTCGCTGTCCACGCCGCCGCGGCCTGTGTCCATTCGAGACAAGGCCGCCTGCCCAACAGCGGCCGCTGTTGGTTTGGGGCAACATTTGTTGTTGGGCATTGTACCCATTCTTTCCGTGCCCATTTCGGGCGTCCAAAAAACCGTGCCGTCGGACGTCAGGGACGGTATTGGCGAGGCCTTGTGCGGTCGGCGGTAGCGCGTAGCCCCCCCCCTCCGTCGAGCTAGGACGAGGCTTAGGTCGGGCGTGTCCTCCTACAGGCGGATGTTGGAGGAGAAACGACAAATAGTCAAAAGATTTTTAAAGATATTCCAACTGGTCCAAAAATCGTCCCCAAGCTATTTTTCTACTATTTCTGAATACTCCTCCTGTAGAGCGACATGCCCGATTTAAGAGGAGAGCCAGTGTCGCGCCAAGGGTGCCCGAGGAGTCCTGCTGGGATCTTTCTGGGGCCAGCCTGGTGTCAATTCAGGGTCTGGCGTGGCTGGGGCACTGGCTACAGTGGGAGACCCATGACAAGACACACCCTGCTTGGATCCAGGGTGCCCTGGGCTTCTTGGGCGTCGCGATTGGTTTGCCATATGGAAAGCGTGACGTTCCCTCACCAATGATCCATGGACCTCCTGGGGTCTCGGGGTTGGGCTTCCTGTGGAAGGTTTCTTGTGGTCAAGCTCTGTACAGCGGAGGCCAGTCCATGAGAAACCTTCAGCCAGAAACCCAACCCTGAGACACCAGGACGTGCACTGAGTTCTGGTGTGGGAACGTCACGCTTTCCGTAGCAAAACCGTCGAAACCCAAGAAACCCAGGACACCATGAAGGGCAAGCAGGGTGTTTCTCCTGGGGTCTCGGGGTTGGGCTTCCTGTGGAAGGTTTCTTGTGGTCAAGCTCTGTACAGCGGAGGCCAGTCCATGAGAAACCTTCAGCCAGAAACCCAACCCTGAGACACCAGGACGTGCACTGAGTTCTGGTGTGGGAACGTCACGCTTTCCGTAGCAAAACCGTCGAAACCCAAGAAACCCAGGACACCATGAAGGGCAAGCAGGGTGTTTCGGGGGGGGGGGGGGCGCGCGGATCCGAGGAATCCGTGCAGAGCGCCAACAGCATATGTTACGGCATGTTTTCTCCTTTAACCAAGGGCTCCCTCGAGGGCGCGAAGTTATTCGCGCTTCGCGCTTCGCGCAGCGCGAAGCGCGAAGTTGGGAGCCCTAGCTAACCAAGGGGGGGGGAGTAGGGCCGGGGGGGGGGAATGCAGTGGAGACCCGTGCCAAGAAGCACCCTGCTTGCCTCCAGGGTGCCCTGGGTTTCTTGGGTTTCGATGCTTTTGCCACGGAAAGCGTGACGCCCCCACATCAAAAATCCATGGACGTCCGGGGGTCTCAGAGTCGGGTTTCTTGTGAGAGGTTTCTTGTGGACTGGCCTCCACGGTAGTTTCTCGGAGGTCCAGGACCTTCCTCTTGTGCCGTTCTTTGTTCCCCAAACAGAGCATCCAAGAAATCCGCGCGGTTCTGCGAGGTAGTATTCCTGTGCCAGTCTTTCGTTCTTCCCCAAAGCGGAGCTGGAGGGCTTCGCACTCCTCTCCTTTAGTAACTGGGCCCCGGTGCCGCCCCCGCCGGCTTGCGGCCGTCCGTCGCCGCCGTCGTCGCCGTGGTGGTGCCCCAGGGCCGCCCCGGCCAGCTTGAGGCCACCCGTAGCCGCCCGCCGCCGCCGCCGCCCGTGTTTTGCTTGGTTGTGCGCCGCGTGGGCTGCGCCGCGCGGGTTTGGCCCCCTGATAGATTGCAGGAAATCATGGTTTGGGGTCCACACTGGCTAACACTTGAGCTAACACTTGTACCTTTGTTCCTCGAGCCGTGAGCGGAGTGCAGGCGGACAGGGAGCAGGTTGGAGGAGTTGGAAGGGCAGGAAGGGGGGGAAGGAAAAGGAGCAGGTTTGAGAGGATGGACGAGGAGGAGGAGAAGGTTGGAAAAGATGGAGGAAGAGGAGGAGGAGGAGGATGGAGAAGATGGAGAAGATGGAGGAGGAGGAGGGCGGGGAAGACTGTGGAGGAGGAGGGTGGATAAGATTGAGGAGGAGGCGGAGGAGGGTGGGAAAGATTGAGGAGAAGAAATGGAGAGGGAGGGGGTTGGATAAGATGGAGGAGGAGGAGGAGGAGGAGGAGGAGGAGGAGGAGAGGGTGGGACAGACTGAGGAGGAGGGTGGATAAGATGGAGGAGGAGGAGGGTAGGGAAGATTGAGGAGGAGGGTGGATAAGATGAGAGAGGAGGAGGAGGAGGAGGATGTTGGGGAAGATGGAGCAGGAGGAAGCTGTGGAAGCTGTGCGATACGACAGCGTGAGTCGTCCCTGGAGGGAGCCTCTTGACGAAAAGGCGCGCTTGGACAGGACAAGGGCTTTACGCCGGCCCACTCGCGGCCACCTTCCTCGAGGTGGTGAGTGTCTCTGGTGGTGCTGGGGTGAGCGAAACACCTGCCTCTGAAGACACAGGCCTAATACAGCGGACCCTGCTGCACCGACCCTAATACGCTGCGGACCAGCTGCGCGGACACAGGAGGGCAAGATTGCCAAACCTGTGAAAAAAAACACCATGGTGCGCGGGAGGTAAACCCTCCGCCACGGCAAGGAACGGCCGCCTTTCTGTCCCCAGCACCCTGAATCGCAAAAGGGGCGCTTGCACCAGGAAACGGTACTAAATGGAAGGAGGGTGGATAAGATGGAGGAGGAGGAGGAGGAGGAGGAGGAGGTGGCTAAGATGGAGGAGGAGGAGGAGGAGGTCGCTAGAAGAGAAGAAGGCGTAAACCGATGGTTTGGATCGGTGCTGGGCCACTCCCCCTGGCGCGCGGAGCGCGCCGGGGAGCGGCGCCGGAGGCGCCCTCCCGGGGGCCCCGCGTCGATCCAAGAAATCCGCGTGGATCTCTGGAAGTTTTGCTTATGCAGCTTGGGGTGCCTCTGCTCTCCGGCTGTCCTCCTCGGCATCCTTCCAGAATCGGGGGAGCGTAAGACCCGGGTTTGCCAGGACTCGGGTTCGCCATCGTTTTTTGACGACCGCGCCTCGGATTTTGACGAGCAGGAGTTTCGTGGGATGTCTGCAGCGGGAGGCCTCGTCAAAATGCAGGCTCGGCCTCGTCATTTTTTTGACGACCTCGTCGGGGATTTCCGAGTCCCCTGTACCCAGGTCTTACGTCCCCCTGAAAGATGTGTATGATTCGGGTCGGGCGAAAGGGGGGGGTTGGGAAGGGGGGGCTACGAAATTTGCTGCATGCAGCTGGTTTCGGCCCCACCGAGGGGCCCAGTCCTCGATACATAGCCGCCTCCGGCGCCGGGAGGCGCCGGGAAAATCAGCTACGTGAGCTGATTCTCAACCCCCCCCTTTGCTATCCCCCCCTTTCGCCCGGCCCGAATGATGCTGCCCGGAGGATCGTGTGCCGTCGAAAAACAGACCCACCCTCCCAGGCGGCGGTTGGCCACCTGGCTGGCCGCGCCACCGCCACCTGACGCGGACAGGCAAAGGAGGCCCCGGGGCGAGGCGACGAGCGAAGGATTCTATTGGATTGCACTCCCGATTAGCCGTCTCGGTTGTCAGATGATGGCGGCGCTCGCTGGCTATAACTACGCGCAGTCATGCAACGAGTAGATTATTAGCATCGGCGCCAAGGGAGAGGTAGCCCAGAAGGGCGGAAAATACAGCCAGTACTGCACGCGACAGGTCAGAACATGGAGGAAGCAAGGAGGGAGGGAGCGAGCGAAGGAGGGGGGGAGCAAGCCAATACTGCACGCGAGCGAAGGAGGGAGGGGAGGAGCAGGGGTAATGGGAGGGGCGCAGGCGCGCACCCCGCCAACTCCCGCAGCACCAGTGCCCTCCTCGTCCTCCTCGTGCGCCTCGTCTTTTCGATTCGGTGCCTCGCTCGGGCTCTCGTGATTCGGTGGCGGCGAGAGCGAGGAGGAGGAGGAGGAGGAGGAGGAGGAGGAGGAGGAGGAGGAGGA